TTCATCTCAAACCATACTCCTTTTATCACTGATGCTCATGCTTTAGAAATGTGCTAAGAAGTGTAGCTATTAGCTATTTTTTGTCTTTCTGATGTGCGGTTCCTCCATTAACAGTGCTGTCTTGTAACATTATACAATAGCTACACTACCTGGTACTCCACGACCTCCTTTAGCTCCTGCCAGACCTACACCAATACGAAGAAGACCTTTACCACCCAACAATGTGACTGGTAAACCTGGCCGTTCAGGTATGTCATCCTCCTAAAAACTAAGGACAGGAACTCAGTGAGAAATTTTACAAAAATATTTACATATTACTAAATCCTTCAAAATGGGTACATGAGAATGCAGATTCAAATGCACCATAAGAAAGAACGTTTCAGTCAAGTAATTACCTTAAATGTGGGCAAACAAAATCAATACAGAGTTGTACATTGTAAAGTGTTTTTTTACAATGGGAATAAATATATTTTGTATAGATCAGTTGAATTAAGCTTGTTTAGCCTTTTAATTACATACTATGCCATATGCTAATAAATAGAAAATAAACTACAAACTGTATAGATATGGAGTACTAGAAACACCTTAATAAATACATTTATACACATTAACCCACTTATATTCAAGAATTTACATTTGGATGAAATTCGTATTCTCTTCTCTTTGTGTAAAATTACTCAAAGAGAACATTTTAATTAATCCCTTTGATTAATTAATGTCTTTTACCATTATGACATGTTTATTTTACAATCAAGCCTGTATAAATTGATTCAAATTCTCTTTTTATTTTCCAAATAGGAAATGTCTTGATGCCACGAGCATCTTCATTTCTCACAACTTCTATAGCAAAACCCACTTGGCCAAGTTCTCTTGTGAAAACAAATTCACCTAAAAAGCTACCTACAGCAGCAGCTTCTCCAAATTACAGTAAGAATGGAATATCACATTTCCAAGTTTTCTTCATGCTTTTATTAATCTCAGACTTGTAGCTAAACACATCAATTAATAGCAATTCCAATAGTTACAATACTGTTCCAAATAATAAATGCACATTTTTCTTATATTACTCTATTGCATACCATACCTTACCTCTGCAAGGCTTAGGTGTAGCTATAAGAGGAGTCCTAACAAGTTGACTGTAGGAAAGATGGGAAGTGAGACAAATTTAATATTGCAGTTACAACCATTTGCAGTTGGTCGTGAAATAGAAATAGCAATAGCACTTAGACTTATATAATACTTCACAGTGCTTTACAGCCCTCTCTAAGCGGTTTAGAGTCAGCATATTGTGTAATGTTCTGGGAAATGCAAACATGACATCCAAGACAAATATGATTTTGCTGAAATTTTAATAAATAACTAAAGAAAGAACTAAATAACAGAAAATAGAATGTAGGAGAATTGTCATTTTTCACTCTCAAGTGCTGTTATGTGCAGGAGCTTGGTGGGGCACTTAGTAGCTACATTGCATTAGTGCATTTTCATAAATTATTTGACATTAGAGGGCAACGGTAAAGTACCCACATTTATCAAAGTAGGTAGGATGACTAAAACAATAGGGTATTTTGAAGAACATTAAATGGGTTTTTTCAAACTATGAAAATAGGCATTAAATGTGATTCAATTTCATAAACCTAAAATAGTTTTAACATACTCATGCTAAAAGAATTTGATTGCTTCATTTCTCAGTGGTATCTCGTATTGCTTCAATCAGTTATAGAAACATGTTACAAAATTCCATGCTAATTGTCACTTATTTCAAAAGGACCTGTATATTGAACTAGTGACTTCAGACTCTTATATTGATTGATATAATATATGACATATAACTTAATTTACATTAATTTTACTTGACATTCTTTTCTTCTAGCAGAATATTTGTCTATATATTGCTCTAGCTATTAAGATAAACAGCATGATTTAAAATAAAGGATTATATTAGTTTACTTTCAGCATTTTTAAGTGTTGCCCTTTCTACAGAGGCAACCAAACAATTAGATTGTTGAAATAATTTTCTAGGAAAAAAATCAGAACAAACAAAACCCCTCTTTTTTGAAAATTGTAAAGAGTTATCACATCAGGAAATTACTAATTAATTTACTAATTTGATTTCTTGGATTAAGATCATCAAAGTTTCAACAATTCAAAGAAACTTTATTTTTTAAAAACTGCCAAATTTCCTAAGAAAATGTGAACAAGCATGGTCTAAGGAGAGATTTTAAAACTGAAGTATGATTAAAAGAGAGCTTTTGAACAGAAAATGTTTTTACAAGATAGAAAATCAGGGCTTTCATTAACATTATGCTATTGTTCTGTAGATAATCCAATGTTCAGTTCTATCCCTACAACCGAGACTGATATTGCAGGCACACCAAGGTATACAGGTATGTTTAAAATTATCTCATAAGAAAAAAAATATGTTAAGCAATATATGCTCTTTTTTATTTTCCCTTTTCTAAAAATAAATTCTTTTTAATAAAACTATTTATTTTGTCCCTTCTCATTTCAATTACCAGAATAGCAGCTGGTAAGTAGAATATGCAAGGCCCCTCTGTAGAACTGCCAGTGTATGCATCTCAAGGTCTGCACAGAAGAAACTTCCAACTTCATTCAGTAAACTCTGAGACATTCTGAATAACCATTGTCACTTACTGAGTGAGAACTGTTTGAGGTTTGGAGACTAAGTCACAGGATATATATCCACTTATCATTTAAGCTGCTGCTACTCTGTGCTCATGTCAGTTTGACTCTATGCTAGTTTTCTTACTAAAGAGGCCAGACATATAAAAGTGTGTGCATGTCTAGGTGTACATTGCTGGGTCCTTAAAATAGCTCCAATAACCCCTACATACTTACTGGACATATACACACCCTACAACCACATGTTGCATTCCATATCTCAGCTCCTGGTTCTTCATATTAGTAGTATGTGCCATTTCAAAAGTAACCCCAAATCTCAGTGATTCCATTAATCTCTGTTTCAGTCCTGACCAGATTTATTTTTGGTTTAACTGAAAATATTGCCTGAACCCAAGAAATTTTCAAATTTGGGTTAGTAGAAACAATAGAAATATTTGACATTACATATTTCATTGCTCTTTAAACAACATATCATTCACAGATTTCAGGTCTTATTGTTGTTGCAGGATAAACTACTTTTTGTAGATCCAATTGTGATCTATATATTATTGTTTTAATCTTACATTGCATATTACACCCTTAAAGCTAACACTACAAACATTAATATACTACAGGAGAATTATTAATTTTCATTTCTAAAACTATTTTGCAATATTTGATGACAATTTTCTTTAGCAGTGTTACTTACTTATACCCAATAAAATCATTTTTTATTTTTTAAATTAAAATGTTACTACTAAATATTAAAATGATACTAACCTGTTTTATTAAAATATTAGCAAGATTCAAATTAGTTTCTGTCTGTTCAACATAAACAGAATGGGAGCAATTGAGGCTGGGCATTTTAGCTGTCTCACCTAATACATCCCGCAACCAGTGCTAACACTTCGTAATTTGCAGATATTCTTTATTTCAGGGAACATTCTGATTGAACCAAAATATGACCAAATCATATTTTCTTATGTAAAAAGAAGAATAGGATATTTTACATACAGTAGGTGCTCTAATTTTAGTTTTAACCATTTGGAAAGTAAGCATATTTCAGGGATCTGAGGTTTCTGTTTTATACTTTAGGCAACAAATGTTTGAAGTGATAGAATACTTTCAAATATCAAACATAAAAATATTGTGTTCTTTTCTATGTTGACATCAGAGGGCAGAAAGGATTCTAATCCTCTCTGACTAAGAAGTGTATAATGAAAATATTTTGTGGAAAGCATTTCTCTCTGTGAAAAAGTACTGAAGTAATATATTGCCATCTAAAGTATAATAATATATTTTTGCTTTATCATCTCTTTTGTGCTTAGTGCAACTGTTGATCTTGTCTTTTCAGGTGACCATGTGAAATACCTTAAAAAAGAAGATGATGTACCTTGTTCTATCACAGATAGTATGCAACACTTTTCATCTGATACAGAGGACAATAGAGACATAGCTACTAGTCCCCCCAAAAAACCTCCCACAAACCTCACTGTGGTGACTGTTGAGGGATGTTCATCTTTTGTGATACTGGATTGGAAGCCACCAGAAAATGAAACTGTAACAGGTTAGCTAGATTTTTGTCTTGTCCAGGTACTGTGTAAACATACATACTTCTTCCAAGCTGTTTTGAAAAGTTGGGGACTTTTAGCAGTCTTGGGCCTCTTTTATTAAAATTCCTAATTTTTCTAGATCCCTGATTTCTATTCTAACTAAAATTTATACCCTAATTAATTAACAATGATCTTTAGATGTTGTTATGATCCAGGTCACCTAAGCAGAGGCAGGCATCGATAGAGCCCTTTATTCCTCTGATTAAATGTCACAACAAACACTCCTACAGTGGCTGGTACAGCTCCACTCTACATTCCCTAGAACCCAGCCACCTTCACGTTCCCAAATAAAAGCCAGTAAACAACAAAGAAACTCCAAAGAGAAGGTGCAAGCTCACAGAGCAAGGTTCATAATCAAGGTAGGATGGGCAAGGCCAGTCCACAGGGTAAGGCAAGCTAACAAGGCCAAAGGCAGTCCACAAGGCAAAGGCAAGGCACAGGCATAAGCATGTGTTAAGCTGTGTAAGTGTAAACCAAACAAGCAATTGTTCCTGACAAAAAAAAATCCCACCTGGCTTCTCCGTAAGTCAACCCACACCAGGTGTTTCGTGGGGCAGGGTGAGAGATGGGTTGCTCCCGGTTTGGCCCAGTTCAGCCGAACCGGTAGTGGTATTCAGGGCTGGGTCGTAGATCCAGCAACGAGCCAGGCCTGTCACACCCCCAAACTGGTTCCCTCACTGCTGCTGGGCTGCCACCATTTTGATTTTTAGTGACTGCACATTCACTGTTCACGGTAAATTGTTCTGCGCAGCACGCACACGCAGCATGTGTCTGGTGCGCGGGGGTTGCAAACCAAAAGTAAAACTGGCAGCAACCCACCCTGGGCAGGGTGACCTTCTCCTGAATAGCCTCGCTTGTCTCCACTCTACTCTCCATGCCCCTGGATCAAGTGGAGCAGGCAGCTGTGCCTATCAGCACCACTGCTTGTCTGCATCTGATCATTGTCTGTGTCTGTGGCGGCAGGCAGCTCTCCATCTGGTCAACCAGCTCCCCCAATACCTGAGGGGCCTGGGACAGCATTGTTCCCAACCCTGGCTTCTCCAAACATTCCAAGACATGCCATCCCTGACTGATGGTCCCAGGTCCAATTCCTCCAAACCAGGCTCCGATGGGGCCATGACAGATGGCATTCTCTGTCCATGGCAGCTATGTCAGAATTGTCAAGTAATTCATCTATGTACTCTCAATTGAATAAAATTTTAATTAAAGTGTCCATGGTCAGTTCTTCTTGAGAGTTATTGTGTTTTTTTTAGTTATTAGTGATCTTGTTATTGTTATTCAGTAACTGATATACAGCTATATGACAGAGAGCAATCAAATATTGCTCTCTACAAAACTTAGAATTTCTGTTCACACAATATATGATCAGGAATATATTTCAACACCTTGGAGCTTATATATATCTTGGGGGGGGGGGGATTATGTGTTGCACCTATTTTTTAAACATTAGGCAGCTAATGATTTTTCCTGAACAGAATACAGGTAATTCTTGACTTACAACAGTTGATTTAGTGACTATTTGAAGTTACAACAGCACTGAAAAAAGTAACTTATGGGTGTTCATCACACTTACATTAGTTACAGCATCTCCATGAACATATGATCAAAATTGGATGCTTGGCAACTGGTTCATAATTGACTGTTCAGTGTCCTGAGATCATGTGATCACCTTTTGTATTCTTCTGAGAAGCAAAGTCAATGGGGAAGTCAGATGCATTTAATGACTGTTATTAATTTAACAAATGCTTAGCACTTAACTGTGGCAAGAAAGGTTGTAAAATCGGGCAAAATTCACTTAACAACTGTATTGTTTAGCAACAGAAATTTCAGGCCAAGTTGGGGTCATACGTCGAGGATTACTTTTAATTCAACATCTCAGCTTTCATCGTTTAAATTCCAATGTCTTTTAGAAAAACCATTAGCTTTCTTCTGTTTATTTCAGATTCTGTAAATTCACAAACTATGAATTCTGTAAATTCACAAACTATGGTAAAAAAAAATCATTCAGGATTGAAGGAAAACTAGTGTTTTCAACAAACAGTTGAACATTTGTCATTCTAAAACTCTCTAATAGTTTAGAAGTAATGAGCAATGACTGAACTTAATGTCTTTTTTATTTAAAAAAATTATTATCCCACCTTTATTAATTTTATAAATAATTCAAGGAACCAAATTATACCTAATATTCCTTTTGTCTCCTATTTTTCCCCCTCAACTCTGTGAGGTGGGTTGGGCTAAAAGAAAGTGATTGGCACAAAGTCACCCAGCCAGCTTTCATGTCTAAGGCAAGTTTAGAATTCTAAAAGACACCAACTATGATTGTTAGCAAGATTGCTATTCCTGTTGTCTTCCTGTATTCAAACCCACGGGAGACCACTATCCTGCATTCTCCTCATGAGGACCACTGTTTGGAGCATGTGGATGATCTCCTGTCTCCTCTTATCCTGAGACGTTCTGAAGAGCCACTCTAATAACTGGTTGTTGTTCTTCCCTGCAGTTCTTGGTTCCACTTTCATGGAGACATCTTCATTCCACCATTCCTCCCCAAAAGCCCTGTGTGAAGATATTATGGATTATGTCCATTTTGATTATAATTAAACCAAAGTGATAGGCTAAGTAAATTGGGCAGTCTGTTTTGATCACTTAATTCTGTATTTATTTCTACCATATCAATTTTTAAAAATTATGAGACATTAAATAAGGTTATTTGGAAATAAGGTTTTGATATATTATTTCAGAATTAGTCTATATTAACTACACAACTAAAGGGATTTTTTAAATTGAACTCACTGATAAAACATTCTAATTTTTTAAATAAATCTACTTTGAACTATATTTTGTTTACAGTGGGAGCATGAAGGAGCAAGATAGACACCAGATAAAGAACTTTTACAAAACTGAAATGATGTAAGTAATTGAACATGATCTTCTTATTTTCAGGATATAAAGTTGTATCAACAGAAAATGGAGGCACAGTTGGAAAAGATACATCCATTATAACCACAAATCAAACCCATTCTACAGTGGAAAATCTGAAACCTAATACAAGGTGATGTTATTAAAAGGGGTTTTATTATAATAAGTCTGAATGAACTGACAATGATTGTCGCAGTATCTGAATTTAATTCCTGTAGAGCCAAGGTGGTGCAGTGGTTAGGGTGCAGTACTGCAGGCCACTTCAGCTGACTGTTATCTGCAGTTCAGTGGTTCTAATCTCACCGGCTCAGGGTTGACTCAGCCTTCCATCCTTCCGAGGTGGGTAAAATGAGGACCCGGATTGTTGTTGGGGGCAATATGCTGACTCTGTAAACCGCTTAGAGAGGGCTGAAAGCCCTATGAAGCGGTATATAAGTCTAACTGCTATTGCTATTGCTATTGCACTAGCCTTTGTGTCCAGGGTTTAAGGATATTGATCAATTAGCTTACATCAGGAGTGTCAAACTCGATTTCATTGAGGACTGCATCAGGGTTGTTTGACCTCGGGCAGGGAAGGGAGCACTCCTGAGCTCTGTTTTTGCTGGCAAAGGCACTGCGGGCCAGTCCTTTGCTTTTTCCAGAGCAGTCCCGTGGGTCAGATCTAAGCACCCCATGGATCAGATCTGGGCCCCAGGCCTTGAGAATGACATGCCTAGCTTACATCATATAACAAAAACTCAAGACAAAACAATGGAAAGCAACTAAAAAGGAAGCCTCACTTGAGAGACTCCAAACCTAATCTTCTTTCTTTAGTTGATTTGATTTGATTTGATTTATTGCATTTCTATGCCGCCCTATTCCCAGAGGGACTCAGGGTGGCTCACAAACCAAAGTAAGGGGGGGGATACAAACAGGAGGAAAACAACAGACAAACAACTACAACAATTTAAAAACAATCAACAACCACACAATTCGAGCAGGGACAGAGAACTCATCAGCCCCAGGCCTGTTGAAATATCCCTTTTTCTTCAGATAAGTGGCAGGTTCTTTAGAGATAAATGCAAAAGGATATAGAATAATTTGGAGATATGCATAGTAAGAGTAATTATATATCTACCTTGATACTAATGATAATTAAGGACATTTATTTTCTTATACTGGCAGCTAAAACACTGATAGAATATTATTAACTGTAAAACTGGGTGCTGTAAAACAAAACTACAAAAGATCTGACTTTGGGTTTCTAAGAACACCAAATGTTTTTCCCCTATGTCAGTAGTTTCCTGGTTAGCAGTATCAGTTGTCAATAGGCATTGTAATTAAGTGTTGCATATCCATCCCTAGTGCCATGTAACGGGGTGAACTCGTTACTTGCCCCAGCTTCTGCCAAACTAGCAGTTCAAAAGCATGTAAAAAATGCAAGTAGAAAAAATAGAAACCCCCTTTGTGCGGAAGCTAACGCCTTTGGCATTTAGTCATGCCGGCCACATGACCACGGAGATGTCTTTGGACAGTGCTGGCTCTTTGGCTTTGACACAGAGATGAGCACCACCCCCTAGAGTCATGAACGACAAGCACATATGTGTGAGGGGAACTTTAAATGTTAAAGTTTATGGGATACTCATTTTGTATGTTACGTCTTTAAAACTCTAGCAGTTTATTGCTGTTCAATTTGCGGTTTGGGGTGGGGGTTTTAGTTTGGTTTTGGTTTTTAGACATCTGGTTTGCTGGAAAATTCCATAAGCTTGTTAAAGACACTGTCCTGATTCAGGTGTTCCATTCTCTCATGGCAACAGAAACCAATAATCAATTTGTATCACTGCTCTGTTTCTTTTTTTCCCTTTGGGTGAGGAATATTTTGGCTTTAAAACTTGGAAAGCTACCAGAAATAATTTTTTCAGTGTTGCAAAGTAAGGAAAAAAATAAATCTTAAGACTTAACTAGGAAATACAAAATATTTTGCCCATAATTCATTCAGTTTTCTTCCGATTATTAAATACTGTTGGAATTAGCCAGGTTTGTCTTGACAAACATTCAAAAACAATATTACATGTTGTGGATTTTCATACTTGGGATGACTTAGTCTTTCATCAGTTGCTTTCATCTGGGAATGTGATGCAATTAACAAATAATATGTAAAATCTTCACAAAAACTAAGATATGGTTGGCCAATTTAAAATAATAGTTGGATTCATAATAAATGTCATGCACTACCAATTACCCATGACTAGTATTATACTTTGGCTGCAATCCAACATATACATAAACATTCTTGAGTATTTGTTGAAATGAACCCTTTGCAGAATAATCCATGCTGGACAATATGACTAAATGTTCAGGCATGCTTGCATTCAGATAATATAGGGAATTATTATTATTGACATATTATTCTACCATGGATTCCAGGCCTAGCAGCAAGCATAATAATTTACTCCCTGGAACCATTGATTAAGATTTCTCCACATTGTTTAGGTTACTCCATTATTTCAACAGAGATATTCTCAAGATTCTGAAGAAAGGTTCTATCAACAGAGTCCTCTAAGAGGAAAAAGAGAACCTATCAGCCATTACAAAGAGAATTGGTCCAAGTAAAGGAGGGTGCCCTTTTTAGCTGCCCTTCTTGAGCAATAGGAGAAAAGTGAGTCAACATCAGTTACCATCATATAATATTGATTGGTATTGTTGGTCTCCCACTGATATTTTCCCACTGAAAAGATTTTTGTAAGCCACTGACATGTATAGGTTTTTGACATTCAGAGATGAATGCCTATTCTATTGAATGGGTTAGCCATATCTGCACTGTCAGATTGCCTTGTCATGTGTATAAGCGACCAATAATTTCTGGAAAGAATGAACATTGTCTTCTGCTGATCTCTAACAAACACAGCTTCAAACCATTTCTGCTTCATATTAAAACTAATATTTTCCAGCTTGTGTTGGTGTGGGTTTATTTGCTGCACCACACTTGGTTCTAGCCAAACTCCTGCACTTTGGCTCCCATACAGAGGCAGGAACAACCTCCATCTCATTTTCCCAGCGGTTCCTCAAGTAACTCTGTGACAGCTGCAGCATGTAGCATGTAGCCTTTCTCAGTTGCATTCTCTTTATGAGGTTTGATGTGCAGAATGTCCCAGCTTTGAAACCTAGCAGATTTTGAATCCAGGGCATTCACCTGTCAAGCAATTGTAATAACTAGAATGCCCATGGGGAAGAAAATGGGGAAATAAAAAAGGAATTTATTTTAAAGCTAATTATACACTATCTGCCAGGCTAGAATCCACGAGACAATGAATTCTAGTTCCACCTTAGCCATGGATGACAACTGGGTGACCTTGGGCCAGTCATCTTTCTCAGCTCAACCCAACTCACAGGGTTGTAGTGAGGAAAATAGGAAGAAGAAAGTACATATTCACTGCTTTGAGATAAATTCCTTTTTTA